TAACAAATAAAGAAAACAAACTGATGAGGTTGTGAAAAGCACAGTGAAGGATGTGAGAGAGCACTCCACGGGTGTATCGGAATCAAGAAGATGGTTATACTTACAACACTCATTCGAGGATCAGTTCTGCATTGCAGCTTCTCAGGCTGTGTTGAAATCGGTTCTTAAGTGGGAAATGGCCTCTACCTTATTCCTTACATTACTAGAAGTTCGCGCTTGCAATTAGCTTCAGGAACTGAAGGAACTAGCGAATTCTGCGATGAATAGTATTGCATGTTGCCCGTGTAGGCAGAAGCAGGTCTTGGAGAAAACAGCGAAACGTGCTAAGATATATGTTGTCCATTCTGAGGAAAATGCGCTCATGAATCTAAGTTTTGTCGAGACGTGAAGTAGAACTATTTCGTACTGACGTAGAAGGCCTAGGAACGTCAGATTGGGTAGACAAATGGAAGTGAAAAATAATCTCGGAGAATGTTGACCACCTATACTTTGAGCGGCGAGTGAATATGCCATACAGAATTCCTCCAAGTCATTGACTTATCTTGCAAAGGAGCTCCAGGTAACACTGAAGACAAGCTTGTTTAATTTTTACAAAATCCTCGTAGATGGAAGTTTGGTTAGTAAAAAGCTTGAAATAAAAACCTAAGATAGGCCAAGAAATGCATAAGTTGCGGGAGTGCTTGCTCTCAAACGTAGCCGTTATGAAGCTACAACTACGCTGACAGCGTGTCGGAGTTTATGAAAATAAAATTATAAGTTATTCAAAATTCAAAACTAATTTGAACCGTTTGAAAAGGAGTTCTATAGGAAACTGACCGAGGGACAGCCTGTTAGTCGCAATGTAGGCATGGTTAGAGCACAAATGAATTCAGGGAGAATTTTGGGAAGATGGTTGATTAGTTTATCCTCAGACTGAGTGCAACTTCGTAGACATTCAACTGCAGAAAACGTAACAGCAGCCTTGAGAGCGCTCTTGTTCAGTGAATATAAGTGAAAATTCGTCATGCATAACTATACAAAGTCGTGAGCTGGCGTTGATGGCCGATTCATCAGTGTGGCTGCGTTTGAAAATATTATTCTACAAGGTCAAACTGTTACTTCAAGAAAAAAAATATATTTACAGCTGAGAAAACTGTGTCCATATTGTAGGGAATGTGTGAAGATGGTGGACTAACTAGCAACGCAGTACGAAAAAATATTTTATCACGACTGTACCAGTAGACACTATGAGGTGCTACGATGTCAATTTCGGACTCTGTTAAGTCTATAATTTGTAAGCATTCTCAGGAATGAGAAGCCATTCCATTCGAGAGATCCTCACTGAGACCGAGGAAGGACGAACGTATGATATACTCGCTAATAATCTCGGGTTAAAGATAAGATGCAGTAAGGAAATAATTCCGTATGTGATGAGATGAGGTAGAACAGTAAGAAACTTTTGTAAACGCGACACGAAATAAGTCGGTCATCTCATTTGATGGCCTGTAACGGAAACGAGTACAGCAGAAATGTGAACGCTGAGTGTTTGCAGCGAGAGTACCAGAATATTATTCAGCATCAGAATCAATAATGCAGAAAAGAAGACTGACATCCATGTGATAGTAATTACATTTATATATTTAGCAAACAGTTTTGAAAATCTATTGGTAGTTTCTGGCAGTATTATATTGCTGAGTCCAATTCTTACGGACTAACATCTACTCCAGTTCGATAAGGCTTTAAAAATGCATTATATCTGATTTAGGCTCAGCAAGAGGAGAAATCTATAAAGGATCGAGCTGTAACTAAAGGTGGTTATGTGAGTGCAGCAGTAAACGTCCTGCGACGTTTACGAGATATGAGTTCACAGCAACAACCAGGTATTTTTGCAATGAATTTAATTATTCTGATTGGAAAGTCCATGATACCGTCGATTACTACTGTCTCAGAAAATTTCATGAATAAATTACCTAAAATTGCACAAAAATAAATCACTTTATCAATTGTTCTCTGCAGTTTACGGTGTTATGGGCATAATTCATCACGTAAATTAAGTTATCATGCGATCAGTTTTGATGTTAATGATGAGTCTGTCACAAAGCTGTCGGAAGAGGCTTGTTCTTGTAGTTCATTTGATTTAGTTCAAAATATAAGCAATACTTTAAAATAGTGATTGCGTTTTATGTTTCCTTAATGATTTGTTTTGTATTTTAGTATTTATTATAGTACTCTTTGAATTTTAGTAGCGATTGCTATATATATGTATATATGCCCATGGATATCATGGCTAACAGTTCGAAGGTTAATCTTCTGCACTGTGTGATTGATTCTTGTGCTGCACTCACCTGGCACTTTAGCCCTCATCTGTACTCGAATTAGCAGAATTATGTTATTGTAACAGCAAAAGCAATTATCAGCAATCAAAACGCCAAAACAGTAGAAATGGTAATAATACCACAAAATATTCCAGCAATCGATCATATCGGTTATCCAGAGGCCAGGAACGTTTCTGAAAACTCTTCTATTTCACAGGCGACTTCCAAGAAGCGGAAAGAAGTAATAAATCATAACTTGTTGCAGTGTAGGAACGCAAACGAAACAAGAAAAAAAGTATGGACAAACAGAAAGAAAGGAAAGTCTGTTGCAAAAAGGGGAAAAACCACGTCTGGAATCATGATTTAAAACAATGGGAAAGCAGTTGAGGTTGTAAAAAAAAAGCTCTGTGGAGGATGTGAGAAAGCACTTTGCCATTAGTATTAAAATCAGGAATGAGCAGAATGATTACACCCGAAGTACTTAATCAGGAATCGAGGTTCTACAGAGCAGTTAGCCAGCTGAAGTGATGAAGTTCTTGGCAGTCGGGAGGATGCTGAAGCGGAGATGTCCTTTGTGTCTTTTCCTGTGCAGCGGGAAGTGTTTGTGTGCTATTACCCGAAGAACTGAGGTGCCAAGCAAATTCTGTGATTACTAATATTGCAGGCCGTCCGTGCTCACAGAAATGGTCTTGGAAGAGTCAACGAAGCGTGTCAAAACACGAGTCACGTTCTTCGAGCAAAATACAGTACACGAGTCTAAGGTTTATCTAGGCTGGCAGAGTGCTCTCTTACATCTTTCACGGAGCTTTTTATAACCTCATCTGTTTTCCCATTGTTTTCTCCTTTTGTACCTCGTACTGATGCAAGAAACCCAAAGACGTGAGATTGACCAGATAAAGTGGATGCGAAAAATAATCTCGGAGAATATTTATCCGCTTATACTTGAAGCATCAAGCGGCGGGTAAATATCCCACACAGAGTTAATGATTGATCTTGCAAGGCAACTCAAGTAGCACTGCAATGCTGTGAAAATATGACAACGCTGGAGAAATAACCACCGGGATGAAAGGCAAGCATAAAAAAGAAGATAAGCTTGTTTGGTTCCCACAAAGTCCTCTTAGATCGAAGTTTGGTTGTTGAAAAATCTGAAACTAGATACCTGAGGTAGACCAAGAAGTGCATGAGGGGCATTAATCTCATGCTTGCTCTTTAACGTCACCATCATGAGCCTCGTGTCGAGACGTATATCCAATCTATATTACTGAAGAAGATGCTTTGAGGCATATCATTCAGTCACCACCGTGGATTCCACTAGAATGAAGTGACGGAGATTAGTACTACAAATATGAACATGGTACAAATGCGGTCAGAATGCGGGAATATGATGCAGCGCTAGAATCAATAAGACAAAAGCGAAGATTAATTTCCGTAATAATACATTTCATTATATATATATATATCTTGGATTGTTGTTGGAAATTGGTTGTAGTGTTTCAGTTACTAAATCTGTATCGCATTCAGCAATCTTAGCTGGCCGTCACTATGGATCTATTTCAGTTAGTCAAAGGAAAGTTCCAGTTTGTGGGAAACAGTTGATCACTGAAAGGTTTGAGCATTATGCTGCTGACTCTTGAAGCTTACAAATTTTCAACTCGTTTATGATAATGTTATCAGACCATAGTTTCACTAAAGATTGTGCTGGAAATTGAAAAAAAAAACGAATTGTTCTTAGGCAAAGATTTAAAATCTTCGTTAATTATTTAATAATGGCACAATAACATTGCAGCGATTTTTATGATGTATTGCTTTCAAAATATGTGTTGAGTCGTGTTCAGTTGGAAGAAAATGGTTATCCTTTATGGGAGGAACCTAATAAAGAAAGAGTTGCCATTAAAATTTCGCAGTTGGACAACAAAAAGAAGTTGTATGTAGATGACAATGGTAGTTTTTTAGTGTCCACATTCGTTTCATTTTGGATGCAATCATGAAGGCGATGTGCATTATGCAAAGTAATTTTGATGTTATCATGCATTTTACGATAACATTTTTTCTAGATCTCAAAAGGATTTGTTGTCGCTGTGGTGCTGAATTTGGTATCACGCTGAAAGGTGAATATGCAGTAGTGAAACAATGTGTGTATCATTGGGGTAAAGCATACAAAACGAAAAGTTAGCTTTTCATTTTTGCAGTGACTTATTGATGCAGATCTCGTTAGTCGAAATCATAAATTTGAAATCTCTCATTTTTCTTTGTAGTGTATGCTATGACTTGTATAAATGCTTTATGACTTTTGTATTTTTAATAGCACGTGGATTGTGGGAATCTAGGTATAGCTGTTGCCAGTCGGATTCAAATGTGACAGGTTGTTGTGTAGCAGACTGTCACGTCACTGAAATGGCACCAAAATCAGTGCTGGAAGCATTTCAGGAAGTGAATTTCAATATTTATTGAACAAGCTCACTTGGAATCGACGATCTCAGTTTTTTGTGTCTTCAGACTTTTTGAATTCATACATTTTAATGTATTTCTAATGTCAAACCAACATATCTTCAAATTCAAGTCATAAATGCAATGAGATTTAGATTTTATTGACTTGCAAAAGACATATCTATCTTTTCGCTAACTTTTCAGGCACCGCCACCACTGGGACCACAAGACAAGCGAAGCAGAAAAGTCTATGCTTTTGATTGTGAAATGGTGTATACAACATGGGGTACTAGTTTAGCGCGCATATCAGTAGTCGATATAAACTATGATTTAGTTATGGATATTATTGTACGTCCACAGCATAAAGTTCGCGACTGTAATACAAGGTTTAGCGGTTTGACAATGGATCAGATTGAAAGAGCAGAACTTGGTCTGGAGCAAGTACTATTTTTGATTTTTATTGTCATTAACTAACGAGTAAACAAAAGCAAAAGAAACCTCGCAGAAACAAATATGATTTCGATTTTTGCAACCTTCACTTTATTGTTTTATTTTATTATGGATCAAAGGCAGTAGGCAAAATGGTAATTTAATAATAACTTCTGTGGAGAAATATCCATGTTTCACTTAGTAAGCATTGGAAAAGGTGCAGTTAAAAATAATGCAGTAAAATTCGTTGCAGGCTCAGAAAATGTTTTTTGAGCTGATTAATTCGGAAACAATTCTTATTGGACATAGCGTTGAAAGTGACCTCAAAGCAATGCGTCTAGTACATCATAAAGTCGTGGATACATCTATTGTTTTTCCCCATAGGTTGGGACCGCCCTACAAACGTGCTTTGAAAACAATTGCGTCTGAATTTTTGCAGCTGATTATTCAAGAAGATGGTTAGTATATAAAAAATAAAATTAGATTCAGACAAAATATTGATCTTTATTGCATTCAAAATATTAACAAACCTACACAATGGTTTATTACCAAAAATTTTTGTTTTCTATTAGTTCAGTCCTTGAGTCTTAGAAGCATCAAAAGAAATAACTCTTTGTTTTTTGAATCATATTTCATTTCATGTGCTGTTATTTTAGTTGATGGTCATGATTCAAAAGAGGATGCAAGCACGTGTATGCGATTAATGGTACATAAGGTTGTGCATGACTAATTATGTGTTTGACAGAAGTTTTTATATTGGAAATAAAGTGATATATGCAAATCTTGAATCTCTTTTTTGTTCTCACATGTTTACTACTTATGAAAATTGGATCTACAGCTTACCTTGTAAATTTACTTGATTCATTAGGAATAGTCCTGTTGTGAAACTATATCTCTACAGTACTGCTCTTGTTTGCATTTCCTTCACTACCTATTTGAAAGCTCTACGACAGAATCTTTTACCCTGTTTTATTCATTTAATTTCTCATTTTTGAAAACAATGTTTCAGCAATCTGTTTTGTAATAAACAAAAATAATCAAACATTAACGGTATGATACTGTTTAGCAATCCATTTTTTGCTGAAAAAGATGTAGAATCTCATTCTTAATAAAGTTGCCATTTGCGTTTGTGTAACTGATGATTATAAGTAGACCTTTTATATCCGAGAGTACAGAAATAACAATATCAGAAAACATACATTGCATCTATAATTTTGATTTTCATTAATCATTCCTTATTTTAGAGCTTATGTATGTGAGAATTTGAATACAAAAGTGTCATCTATTTTTAACGTTGTTTTGTTGCGTAGATGTAAAATTTTGTGGTAGGATGATCTATCTTGATAAATCCTTATTATGCTGATAAAGTTTTTATTTTGATTGTAAGATTCTTACCGTAATCTTTTTTTTGAAACATTTGTATTTTTGTGAAGTAACTTTCTGAAGTAATACAAATTTTTTGGAAAAAAAGAGGAGTTAGTGAAACAATTGTACTCGTTAGGATATTTTTTCTGTTATATGTGGCTTTAACTGTGTATATCAAAGGCCTGTGATAGAAGCTAGAGCGTCATAAATTATGAAATGAGATTCGAAATGTTGAGCAGTGTAAGTTCCTAATAAATTAAGTGGGGAGTTATGCATGTAGGAATTTTTGAATGAATTTTTCTGCATTAGTTCCCATCACTTCATATTCATTAATAAGTTTTCGGGAATCACACCGATGTAATGAAGATTAATTGCGTGGTTATGCTGAGGAAATTGTGGTACCACAAGAAAAAGTCATTGTGCTTGACGCTAGCTACTTATTTTATCGGAAGGAGATTCTGTTGCTGGAAGAGGTTGATCCATTTTTCCTTCTTACATAGTTTGAGTGTGGGAATTTGTCTGAGCTATGTAAGACATGAAAATTTCTTGACCTAAGAGATGAATTCGTAACGCGGTTTTCCTTAGGGCAGTCATACCATGTTCCTATTTTTGAAAATATTTGTGAATTAATCAGAAGTGATATTAGCATCAAATTGAAGTCCTCAGAGTTTGCGTGTAAGAATTTTATGTGCAGAGCTTTATGTTTTACTAAATTTGTATGTAAGAATTTTATGTGCAAAAATCTTATGTTTTACTAAGTCTGAACACGAAGTCGCTACTCTGTATTAAGACAGCGGCTGTGTTCAAACAGCCATGAGTGAATTGAGAAATCGTTATGAGTAAATGAATTTTTGATTTAGGATCTAGGAAATGAATGTCATCTAAAATCTCGTTCAGTAACTAATTAATTTTGAACAAATAGGTTTTACTATTCACATTTATACTTAATTTTTCAGTTTAGGGATTGTGACACGAAGACTTTGTATGCTCAGAAAGCAGAAAAATTTGGTAATTTGCCATTGTTGGCTGAGGGACATTTACGACGCATCACTGTCTTAGCGGATACTGCTTGTGCTGGTGCTTTCGAGAGCTTTAGGGAAAATGCTTTACCTCTGTTCAATTTAGCAGGTCTACAAGTGGATATAATCAAAGTTCGCTTTTTCAGAGTATTCAGATCCTTTTATTTCATTGAATTAGTATCATTTTGCATAGTGATATTGTGCTTCTAATGCTTTTGTTTAGCCGATCAATATATCGGAGTTTAAAACCATTGCGAAGCATATTGATTCTACGGAATGTGATGCTTTGTATATTGTTGGTGGAGATAGTACTCTAAGCGCCGTTCTAAGTGCATTCCATTATCGAGAAAATAATTTACCGCTATCTATTGGTGTTTTCCCGGGTGGTATTGAAAATCGGTCTCTGGTCGGTTTGGTTCCTAGTGTATTCGGTTAGTTCATTATTGTTCTACTGATGACTAAAGACTTTTAAAGTATGAATTAAAAATTTTTCGAGCTTTCCATATCATTCCTTCCTTGTCATATATTTTAATAGACGACGAACAAAAATCGTCCTAAATGTGATGCTACAAAATTTGAAGTATTTCGATAATTTTTTATTCAAAGTTGATGTTCAAACTGAGCTGGATCAATATAATAATTGAGTTTAGTGATGAAATCATTCTATAAATAGAAAGTTGGCTACAATCATTGCACTTAATAAGCTTTGGTAGGTTTGCAACTATCTCTTCAGGATTCCAAAATGATATTCATTCTCAATGTGAAAGTGCCATGGCGCTGATCGAAGAAAAAATCAGACCAGTTTATTTATCAAGAGTGAAGCTCGTAAGTATATTTAATTTTTGTAACCAAATGGTAAACATTTATTTCATTTTCTATATGAAGACCTATACTTGTTCTACAAAAATTACTTCTCTCGAGGTTAGATCTTCAAAATATTTAGTAATGAATTAGTGGATTCACGATTTCAAATTATAGATCGCACGATAAGAATTCACTGAATTGAAGATTTTCTTAGGATTTGTAGATTAAGAATTTAACTGTAAAACAGTTCTAAAAAACCACTGGAAATATCTCCCTAAGACCAGTTTTGTGAAGTTAGCTGGTTTAGGAAAACTCAGAGAGCAAAAATGAATCGATTTACGGTGTCACAGGTTTACATATTGGGTGGTTTGACAGAGTTGAGACCAATAAAGCTAAACTGTGGTATTGTGGTCCATTAAAACGATGGATTGCTTATCTCACAGCTGCGATAAGAACATTAAAGGTTAATCGTACTCAAGAACTTTAATAATGTAATAAAGATGTTAATTAAAGACATTAGAGAAAATATGAAGGCGTCAACATTTCATGATCATCAAATCTCATTATGTTCAGAGGATATAATAAGCTTCTTCCACTGGTGTATAATTTTCTAGCAGTATCCAGAAGTTCGAATCAATATGACTTGTGAGGAATACTGTGCAGGTTGTTGTAGATGTCGTTCACAGCCAGAAACAGTTGAAGTGGTTCAAAACCGACGTTGGTGGCAAAATATTATTGGCTCAACTAATTATTCAAGCCTGGTAAACTTTAAACATTACAGTTGTTCGAAACTAAAAACATTTTCTCAACTTGAAAGTTTTGGAAAATAGAGATATCCCTGAAAAAATGATCGATTTCTAATACTCGTTTGTGTGCAGAAATGAATAAAATTAGTGCGAAGGAATTGCTGTATTCATAACTGTGATGCATTAGTGCCGTTATATTAGTATTTAGATAATAGATTTACATTCTTTAATTTTAAGAGAAATCTTTTCAATCAACAAACCAACTCTACTAAGTTCAATAAGGTAGAACTGGTTTGTTGATGAATGAGTGGAAGAAATGACGCTTAACTAGTAACAAGTCATGGCAAAGCATATGAATATAATACGCCTTTCAAATAGGCAAGAAATTCCACTGTATTATTACGTTAAATAAATGGGCACAGACATTATGTTTTAAGTTTCGCACTCTTGTTCAAATACTACTGCATAATAATATTTGATGAGAGTTCTTAGAATTTAATGAAACCAATAATCGACTATTCGCAAATAAAAAATGAAAATTGTGGTAAAACGCGAGAAGTAGTCGTAAATGCAGTTGACATCGCGCTGGAAAATGTTCAAAATCAGGTAAGATAATTTCTAAATCTAAAATCGAAAGTAAGTCGGCTGTTGAGAGGTAAAGCAGCTTATTAGTACCGACAGAAAATAAGGTTAATATGTTCTTCCTCTCAACAGAATTATATATATGAGGCCGTGTGTATTAAATGAAAAAATAACCGTTACTGATTCAAATGTATTTCGTTTTATGAATAAAATGTATGTAGTGCACGAACTGAACTGTAGAAGTGTAGAAATGAAAAGGAGATGTAATCTAAAAATAACAGTTGATAGTATTTAGAATGCGTGCAGTCTGCGGGTTCGTACTGGCAACGTTGAGTATAGTAGAATTGGTTTGTTGATGGATGGATGGAGGAGATGTCAAGCAAAGCAGCTCTCCGCTTCACCTGATATTGATTTTTATCAAAATGATCTCTTAGTAAGATCTGCTACTATAACATTTAGTGCCATGTTACCAGATGCTGTGAAGAAAATGACTGTATTTGGTAACGAGTGTCAAATTAATGATTTAAAAACTCGAATATTTGTTGAATCAACGAATAACTTTGTCAATATGTATCTTCCTTCTGAGGTACGGGTTTTATAATCAATCCACCCTTATTAATAATGCTTAATTCTTGATGATTAGTTGTTTCCAACATTTTTATTTGGAAGTAACGCGCATTTCGGCATATTGTTGCAGATCCGTTAATTTCTATATCGTGTTCTGGGTTCGCCTCTCAAGCCCTCACTACTCATTTTTTTTGCCTTTCTAAAAATAAAAGTAAGTTTCAAAAAGAAAGGTTCTTGATATATATGTGTAAGGATTGGCAGTGGTGTTTCCTAAAGTTTAGCATCAAGTCGCAGTTTCAGTTTTTTATATATATATTTAATATCCTTATGGTATGCTTGCTACTTATTCTCTGTATTTCGTAAAATAATTTGGACCAACAAAAATATTCCGTTGTAGAAACTCCTGGAATGATGCAGGAGTCAATATTTTTGCATCTTAGTGCAAGACAGTAAATTCTTTTCGCGGAGTAATGTTATATATATATATATATATATATATATAACATCACTCCGCGAAAAGAATTATATATATATATATATAACATCGCGAAAAAAATGATGATAAATTTAAATTCCGCAGAACCTTCATACAGCAGTATTTGAACGGTGAAACGCTGGAAGGTGGAAATCTGAGTGAGTGCCAAGGAAAGCGTGGATCTCATAATAGCCCTTAAGCTTGAGTGTCAAGGGATTCCAAGATTCTGATAGAACGTGTAAGGATTTATGAAAGTAACATTGAAAGTTATGGGTCAGGATAGGCAATTAAAATTCAAAACGCCTGATAAGAGCTGTTCAAAAGGCAGTTATATAGGAAGCTAATTGAGGAATAGCCTGCTAGCCACAATATGGAACTCGGAAGTTAGGAGGAGATTATGACATCCGACACAACGGATATGTGGAAGAATTAATCCAAATTATAGAATGCAATATGCTTTCCCATCTGAACCAGAATTTGGGAGGATTGTTTCCTGTTTGCTTAATTGGAAGGTCTAGATGGAATCTTAAACGTTCTCATTGGAAGGTGCAGTATTTTCATTTTTGTATTTTCTATTCGCATATCTAAAAACAGTAAGGCAAGTTCACCTTAATGGGGGAGAAGCAGAACTCATGATTCCACAAAAGAACTACCTACCTGATTCCAAAGTGTTCCAAATAAAGATAGTGACTACAGTTCAATAACCTGTATACCAAACCTCTACAAGTTGACAACAAAACGTGTGGCACCAATCATGAAATTTGATAGTGTTACGAGAAGAATACTAGCAGAAAGCCGATTGGGAACTACTGGGTAGGTTCAAGGTGCAAAAGAGCAGGTAATCTTGAACCCGGTTGTATGCGGAGAGCATGAAAACCAGCCACATACTACTTTGAATTGAAAGACATGCCAGCGTGAATCGACAGGTTTCTGAGAAGTATTACCTTCAGATGGTCAGTGGTACTGAAAAACAATGGAGAAAAAAATACAGCATATTAAGCTGAATTTGCGTATCTCAATATTGTTAAGGAACCCTCCAAAGTGACTCAGCCTTTCTCCGCTGCCATTCGCGTATGCGTGAAATCGTTGTGGAGTACACTCAATGTTGAGTTACTCAAAAATAGCGGTTTTCACCAAACAAGAAATACAGATACCGAACTACTCATTATTAGTTGGTGATTTCGAGCTCCTTGCAACCGATGAGAATACCATGAAATCTATAGCCCGACGTCCAGAGGTTTTTTTTTTTTTAAATAGTATGGCTAAAGGCAGCAAAGTCAGCCATTAATACTGAGGTATGCGCTGATAAGGCAGTACTCTTTGAAGAAGTTCAAGGTATGAATAAATAGGAATAATGGAAAACAATTAGTGCACCTACCTGTGAGGGCTGCGATAAAATGCAAGCATAGATTTTGGTAAGAATTGAGCGACTAGCCAAAACTGCATTAAACGGCAATAACTCTAACAAGGCAATAAATGAGCACGCCATAAGTTTAATAAGTTATTATGCTGGAACTAGAGAATTTTCAAGCAATTTACCATGATATCAGGCAGTTACTAGATAGATACGGAATTCATAGTCAATTTGCACGCTTAGAGAGACTGTACTTGCCAAAGGACAAGCTAGGACGTTGGCGCTTTACTGCATTGAACAAAGGAGTAAGCTGATTGTACAGCTTTATAACGTATTTGTAGAAACCGCGCCCATATCTATCAGAAGGCAGCGATTTTGAAGCAGGAGATGGCTTACAATTATTGTATCCTACCTTCAGACTAAATACAATCGCGTAGAAAATCGAAAACCAATCAAGAGCCCAGAAATCGCTCTTGTATGGTGAAATAGAGATTCATTATGCAAAGTTTTACTAGATTTACAGTATTTACAGTAATGAGCTAGTCTCAATGTCGGATTCATCGAAATGGTTACGATTCGGAAACTGTCACCTCCAGCACAGTAATATGTTTGTTGCTGAGAAAAGCATGAATCCACATTGTAGGAAACGCGTGAAGACGATGACCATCTAGCAAACGCAGTGCGAGAAAATGTTATATCACGACTATAAGATACAATGAGGTCCTACGATGAATTTATCTGCGACTTTGTATAATTTTTAATTTGTAAGCATTCCCACAAATGATATGCCATTACATTCAGGGGATGGTCGCTGAGAGAGAACAGACGAAAGCATGATATACTGCCAAATAATCAAGGGTCAGAGATGAAATGCAGTTAGGGAATAATTCCTTATGTGATGACATGGGATGGAACAGCAAGCAACTTTTACACGAAATAAGTCAGTATATCTGATCAAGTCGAGATAGTATCCAATAGATAATACACAATAAGACAATCGAAAACATCTCATTCGATGACCGCCGAGGATTCCACAAGGGAGACGAGCACAGCAGAAATGAACACTGAGTGAGTGCAGCGAGAGTGCCAGAGTACTGTCCAGCATCAGAATCATTAATTAGAAATGAAGATTAATCTCCACGTGACATTGATTGATTGATACTTACAAGTTCCAGTAAATTATGCCAACACTACTTCACATGGTCTTAGCATTATAGAAGCTACTATAAAATGCATAATACTACTCACTGATTGTTTTCTTGCAGATGAACTGACTGCTCCAGGCTTCACTAATGCTCTAATATCGTGAACAATTTTTTCTTTCTGTTTGCGTTCGATTTCAATTTTACGTTGTAGCTTTTCAATTCTTGTGTCAATATCAGCCACTGATTTTGCATAATCATTCAAACTCATTTCAGAATATTTAGTGTTCTGTAAAAGTTTCAATTAAGGTATTTTAGAAAATGCTTTTCGTGCACATACGCCTGCCCATAGTTCTGGTTTTCGTATTCATTTTTAAAAACGTAGTCCTAAATATATTACCATAATAATAAATTGCATTAAAATATTGACTCACTTCGACTAAACTTGAACCACTGGTCGACGGCACTATATAGGTTTTCGGTTTGTCATTAGAGGGATCTAATATTTCATTTACAGGCAATTCTACTGGCATTTTTGGTTTCGTAATTTCTGGTGAAGGTGTTCTTTTATGCGTTGATGGAGCAATTTTTGTTGGGATGTAAATAACTGGAAACAAAATAAGAATATCTTTGAATTCAGTGATTCAAATCTATATTAAACGATGTCTGTTAGCTGTACTTGACTTATTATCAGTGACAGTACAAATCCTGTTCTTTTTTTAGAATTCCCACACACATAAGGAACTACTAGAACAATTTAAACTGAGTATCGAGCAAAAACCAAAGGTACCATCAGAATTTAAATGAGATGCACTATCTTGTGTGATCGATTTTGACGAAGTCCGGCTACATATAACTGGATCTAAAGGAGCATAAATTGATTGATAGTAGACTGGAGCAGCTGCTTGCATTTCCACATAACCAACATAGCCAACAAAAGGTTGTTCATGAGGTAGAGATAAAAAAGATAATGAAGATTCCTGCTGCTGCGATACATCATCTAAAAAGATTGCTTCTTAAATACAATTGGAGATTTGCAACTGAAATGTCGGGGTTTTTTTTGGCATACTTCAATAAACTATACCCATCTAATAAGAATTTCAGAGTTATGAGACTACTACCAAAAAATATCAATAACTATATCCTAACATTGATCCAAATTTTTGATAAAACCAAGCATTTGCAAACCTTTCGTATGCCAAAAATGACAATGTGGCCTGGAACAATCATCATCATATGGACACATGATATCAGTAAATAACCCGGATCGCCCGATCATGATTCTCCACCTTTTTCTCTTTACTTCACTGAAATCAAAATAAAATAACCTTGATAACTTTGCACTTAGTGTACAAAGAATCCAACTGGCTCCAAGCCGTTTGCATCGTACGTATTTGCATATTTAGCGACGAAACTGAAAAAAAAAGTACCATTGTTTTGGATCTTTATATGCATGAAATGGCAAATTTCTACTTCTGTTTAATCATCTCTAATTTTTAGGAAGGATGTTCTTACAGAAAAGAGTTATAAGAGGAGTTGTAGAGATAGTTTAGATAATAGAGAGAAATATTTATTTAAATTGTCCTAATACAATTCGGATTAGGACAACTTAAATAATGTTCTCTATTCCAAATAGAAGAAAAAGCTTCGACTAGAATCATAATTACTGCAATCGCCCGGTCATATTTTTCGCTTCTAAATTTTCCTTAATAAAAATGTTTACTCATTTATAAGCAGTCAGAAAACAAAAAGAATTTTTTGACATGACAGTAAGTAAAAGTAAAAAACACATCCATTTATCATCATATTTTACAATATCGCAATCGAGAAACAAATCTTATCTACCTTCGTTACTTTTTAAAGCCATCAATCTACTCCCTACATTATTGTTCAATCGGTGGATCAATATCATCATGACTCCTAGAAATGAGAGGCTTGAATAGATTACCAAGTTAGAAGTGTGAGAACTGCTGGCCTTATGATTTATAATATTGGAAGTGAAATCCAAATATCCCGATCATATTAAAATATGACTTCCAGTTCATAATGTCCAAATTCAGAATCTCTTCCTAAGAAAATGTACACTCGCCACGTTCTCAATCAAGCTCCAAACCTGATTCAAAAAGTCAAATGATTCAAGTGTGCTTTTCTCTCCAACAGTACAATCTCTCTAAATGACTCTCTATACAATTGTTTAATGACACTTGCCACTCAACAGCTGCTGAATTGCTTCGTTTTCAGAGCAGTCTGCAGCCCCAATTCATAACTTCACTCTCTCCTAAACAAGACCAAAAAGCAACCATCAACCGTGAACTTTTCCTGACATCTGAAGCATTTCATATACTCATACACACCTCATTGTCTCAGCTAATCCCTTCCTTACGAACCTTAGATCAGAAGTACGGCAAAGCCTACTAACCGTTTACAACTCTAGATGATTTACGTCTTATTAATTCCCATTCTCCGCAACAGACGTCAGAAGTATTACTATCGTAATAACTAGTATACTCGCGTGATCATTCGCGATTTGCCTAACATGAAGTAATCTTGCTCGACCCACATTACAAATATAGAAAAGTGCCATATCCATCCATTTATTTTACCCCCAAACTATGGTCACAACCTCACACCCCTAAATAAAAAACTGTCTCACAGCAAAGCCTCCTCACCTCATACTCCTTTAGCATATTTCTGCGTCATGGATAAATTATATAATATATTGCACAAACCCTACCCAACATCTTCAACTTTTCTCAATTCCAATCTACAAATTACAATTACGACAGGTCATGTACCTTCAAATTCAGACACTAAGACAAAAACCACGAATAATTATCAATTTTTTTATTCACAAAATCTAGTCAAAGGAAACACCAACAGCAGTGATCACTAGACAAAAAAAGAACTTTTTCAGACTTCCCGACACTCTACCATCTTATTGTTCCGAAATTTCATCAAAAATAACTATGTAAACTTCGTCACACCAATTTTTACTATCGAGTATCCATGATAATGAGAATAGGCACTACGCATCCAATTTATTATATATGGCACACCATAAATAATATATATGATAATCTACTCATCAAAAAAATCAATAATAAATTTCTGCCTAACATGCTAATTAAAAAAAGACATTATAAGACTAAAACACTAAGAATATATTTGTATACTATCTCGCAATTTATGTGATGACCGAAGGAGCGCTACGTCCAGTAAAATGTTCCAATTTACTGAGTTGAAGAGCCACTAGAATTAGAGGCTTTAGCAATTTCTGAAATATAATTTTAAAAAACTTCATGGATTTTACGATAATGCTTTGTATTAAAAAGTTAATATATAGGAACTCTCTAAAATGTCTCATAATACTCATGTTACAGACTTTTACTAATAAGTAGTAGATTGAAGTCACTACATGCTTTCTCCATATTTCAACAAAAACAAATTAAATCTTTACCTACAACCACTTAGATCCATGAATATAATTTGGAACCACTAAAACTACGAGCACACATTTTAAAAACATGAAAACCCTACCTCTGAACTCTCAAATAATCGACTCTTATCAGATGAATCGATAAAAGAATCAACGTAAAGTCGAATTGTTGCACCACAAGAATCAGTGCCACTTAAACGAAATACTATACGACTACCATCATAAAAAATGATACGTAGTCCCTAAAAATACAAATCACAGCGCACGAATAATTATGAGCAACAAAATGCAAGAAAAGAGATCAAAAATTAGCGTATCTGATTGTTCAAATTTTTACCAACCGTTATAATCGATATTTTTTTAACGAAAAATGAAAAGGCTTAAAATATACTACACTAACTCACTTGTCTTTTTGTAACAGAACCGTCCACAGGGTCAGTATATGCAAAATTATCGGCATGTTTGACGATGAAAGTCCTTTCATTAGCAGTAAACTTCTGGTCAATGAATGCTGGCATTTGAGACTCAATAAAAGTCATCATAAGATTTGCTCCTGATGTATCACAATTTTCGTAATCATAACTAAAAATTTTTGTTATAAATACACATACCTACTAAGTTCAGAATTTTTGGGCTAAAAAGGCAATATTGTTTTCCGTTCCATAAAAATTTCACAAACAGCGATGAAAGATGCGATATAAACATTGAATGCTTAATTTCAAATTTTGATTCAGCGCTGCAAATCTTCATGTAGATGTAAACACGTATTCGCATTCAAACAAGAGTAATGATTAATTAATCAAACAATGAAAATAAATTCGTTTCTAGTATTTATTTAACTACCGCGTGAAAACATTGCGACCATACTTTGACCAATGTTCTTTAACAATGCTTTCAACTGACATCTTTTTACTATGCACAATCTGTAACCACGCGAGCATCGCCCAAATGCCGTCTTTTTCCCTATAGCAGAGAATTTAATTCATACAAGCTTCCAAAAAATGTTTGAATTTGCTTTAAAACGTATAACAATTGAGAGGAGATTTAAATGTTACAAGAACAGTGTCGTTTTTCTTTAAATAAGAATTTGTTTCTGGTCTGTGACATGAAATATTAATTTAAATTTTACATCACTATATATTTTTGCATGTATTCTCCTGAAAATTCTTGAAATAATTTCCCTTCCCTACAAGACCTAAAAAACAATTTTTTATTACATATTTATGGGACTACTTACCTAATATGATCCGAGCCCGTACCAAACGACTCTTCTCCGCACAGTGACAATTTATTAGCATCCATAAGATTCCCGAAAAATTTCCACCCAGTAGGAGTTTCATATAACGGCAGACCAGTTTCTTTAGCTACCTGATCCACTGCTCCTGCGGTTGGCATACTTCGTGCATACCCTATTTTTAATTATGAGTGCGAAGAGAATAACACACAATTTTTATACGTTAAGCCAAAAAAATTCAATAAACTAAGTTTCTGAAATATTATTTGAACTAAAATTCGGTGAAGAGCAACATAATAAACCTATTTCTTGAGTAGTACAAATAATTTTCAGGAGCCTAAATCGCATTTAGATGAAACCTTTGATTCCATGTTGTTGAAAATACGGAATGCAGCGCATATTAGCAGCAATCACTGCAAGTGAGTCACTCGGAGTAACAAAAAAACCGTCTTTACCAAGAATCATATTTCGGTCCTAAGAATATATTAAAAATACACCTTTTATTCTCTCATTATTTTTTTATTTGATTAAGAAATTACTTCAAGAGCTTTAAAAAAGAAACGAAATAATTATAAAAGCTTGATATTGTAGCAGCTTGAAAATTTGACTGATCCGGAGTTTAAAAACTGACAGTAATCGGCAGGTCTACGTTTAAATTGTATATATACATGCACTCACTCCATCGCCATCAAATGCAGCACCAAAATCATGTTCGCCTTTTTTCATCATGTCAAGCAAATGCTTTGCATAAGTCAAATTAGGATCTGGATGACCACCACCAAAATCAGACTTTGGAGTTGCGTGACACAAAAATTTTGAGTTCACACCCAGCTTTTCGACTAGAATATTGTGTACATACGGTCCTGTAGCACCATACAAACTATCGATCAAAATATTGAATTGACCCATCGTTTTACCATCAAGCAAATGTTTTATCTGCAATGTTATTTAAGATAAACAGAGGTAAGAAATTTATCATTCCATTTTATTTTAAATGTAAAACCAGTAACTTCTGCATTTGATGGTGATGGGATAAGCATTTGCATATACAATTCGAATCACTATCTGGTGATTATTATCAGCCATTTAATTCTAGATCCATCAAACATTCAAGTCCTTGCTTTATTAAGCTCTAACAATTGCTGTGTAAAGAATTTGTGTAAAGAAATTTTTAAAAATTCCATAATAACATGAGTTCATATTAGATTAGATTTAAACCTTGAGGAAACAATAAGAATTGGTAGGACGTATTTTTGATGTATTGTATTCTTACCTGGAAGATGTATTTTTGATGAAACTTGATTCTCAGTAAAGAGTAATGCCAATAAAGAAAAACTTGCCTTCGAAAAATCGAATACTTGTTCCATTAACTGGACGTAATCTTTTACAGAATCAACAACATCAACCGTGAATGTGCCATAACCATCAATAATATAATCAGTTTTCCCGATTTTAGTAAAATCAGCATGCAAATCATGGCAAATATAATATTTAGATATCACTTTGCTCATTTGATAAATAGATTCTGTCACCTGAAAAAATGTTGGATAATATTTAGATCAGGAAAGAAAAAACTTAGCTCAGTTAATAAGAAGTATTACTTTTTCTGGTGCTGGACCACCATTTTCACAATTTAATTTTATTCCAAAATCTGCTTTAGGACCACCAGGATTATGACTGGCAGTTAAAATGATCCCGCCACAAATCAAACTGTCGTCTGTAAGGAAACTTCTGATAACAATTTCATAAAACTGGTTCATACAAGCATAATTCTAAAGGAAGGAAGAAAAAATATATAGTTCTTTTTGTTTGCTTCTTCAAGAAGTCCAAGCTTGAAGTAATATTAGTACACATTGACAGGGAAACACTTTTGCATATAAATTAGAGTACTTTTCCCTTTGCTAAAGGAAAAGTCTATCTTAATATGCGGCAATAAAATAAGAACCACTTTTTTCACGTTTTCTGATTAAACATGAAACAGCGGGAGTACTTAAAAATCCATTTTGACCAACGATAAGCTTGCGTAACTGAAAAAAAAATTCTGTATACATATTATATTAATAAACTGCTGAATAACTGCTAACTGATAGCTTCATTTTTATCTACAGAACGGAAGACTAATACTTCTTAGTGACAACAAATAACAGCAGATTCTATTTAAATTGCTCATCAACTAATAAACTTAGTGAATGTTACCGAACACTACGATGTTGTAAAAATATGCACTACTTCATAACGACAAATTCTATCCTATAAAAAACTTAATCAAGATAAAAATTTTCAGGGAACCCCATTAGCTGCAGCGATCTGAATGATAATATTGACTGTTTCAGAACATAAATATCTCCCATCTCCGCCAACAACCATTGTAGCATTTTTCTTTTGATCATTTAAAACCGCGTCCAAAATACATTGTATAAAATTTTCCGTGTAATTATTTTGCTGAAATTCTGGAACCTAAAATATGAACATGATTAACTTGTGTCAGGAGTTCTGGAGTTTCTGGAGATGATCTAACATGGGATTAATAACCATAACTGCAAATTAACAAGTAATAATGAAATTCCATCTTGTAATCAAAAACAGTTGATGATGGCGCGAAACAACGTCCGACGACAAATAAAGCCTCAAACAAACTAACCTTTTTACGCAAACCACTGGTACCTGGTTTCTGCCCCTCATAAGGTTTCGTGCTCACAGTTACCACCTTATATGCACTACTCATTTTGAAATGTATATTTCCTGGAAAGATGAAATCATCAGTGTTTTGCGCCAACATGGCACTTAGTGACAATATTGTCATGAAGGAACTCATTTTGAATTATTTTTTCCTCTCCTGCATATTTGCTATTGGAAAAAAAATACTTTTATCTTATTAATGTTATAATTTGCGTCTCATATTGAATTCTTTGCTAACAAAGCCATTCATTTCCAAACAGTCCAGTTTAATCACAACCGATAATGAATTTATTTATCCATATGAAAACTTATCCTGATATCACACCCAATTGGACTTCAAAGTTATCGAAAAATCAGTAATAAATGACTGCAACAAAAAGTCCTCAACACCTTCACACTTGATATTTTTACATGCATAAAGCCTGGGCAAAACACAATTTGAGAAGCTACAAGGAAAGAAATATATATTAACGATTAACCAATTGTTACACAACAGTGAGGCTCTTTTATTAGAATTGAAATTTGCTGATGTCTTCTCTGAAAGTAATATTTACACGAAGAGCTGTTGTTATCGCAAAAGCTGCATTGATTAAACGATAGTGATATATAGAGAACCAGGAATCAGACACTTATCGATGTGATAAAAACAAACTTGATGTATGACTTAATCTGCCTTTTCTCTTTTCTTACACCTTTCTATTATACCAACACTTCACCAAATGAGATAGGACAGATTTTTCACTTTCATTTCCACGTACTTCCTTGTACAGAAAAAATAGTCAAGAATTTATTATGTCCTGATTTATTTCTCAACATAGTTGAAGAAAGAGTATTTACCTGAATCCAAATCCAGAAATAAGAAAAATTGAGCATACGATTATGGCGCAAATTCACCATATTTGAGTACGACAAATATGTAAAATTCAAAAACTACTCATCACTTTAAACTTGACAACATAACTATCAAAAACAATGAGATGTGCTTGCAGTTAATGATGCATAATTTTTTCATATTTTCAGAGTGCGAAGTTGCATAGCGCTTCTAGTATGCGACGACGTGGTTTGATAGGCACATGTGTCATTTTCCATTTTTACGAAGCTAGAATCGGTGTAGTAGTAAGGTGAGTATCCGTAAGTTTTCTTGTAATTTCAGCGTATGTTTGTCAGTCTGTTTTTTATATCAAGTATGTAAGGAATGAGTCGAAGTAGTGAACTTGTGAGTTAGTTGTGTGATGTGAATTATTGTTAGTTGTGCTCAAATTTATGGTATGGAAGTAGCATGAGTTTTGGCAATTAAGTTGAGGAGAAAATTGAACAGTTCTGCCTCGGAAATAAAAGTTGCTAGAAACTACTCTCGGTATTGCGCCTTAGAACATTTTATATCTTTATGATATTGTTTTGTAATGTGTCTTAAATTTCTCCATAATGAAGAGCCTCTATCTTTTATTCTTAAAATGTAGTTGTAATTTTATCCTATTCGTTTGCTTTATTATTCCATTTACTGTCTGTTTTAATATGTTGATAGCGCTCTATGTTGTAAAGTAATATATTAAATGTTTAAGGACTTCTTTGTTATCTTTCTGAATAATGACGAAAGGTACATCATCATTTGGTAAACGTCACAATAAAACCCATACTTTATGCCGTCGTTGTGGTCGGTCGTCATATCACATCCAGAAGCATCGGTGTGCTTCTTGTGGCTATCCATCAGCTCGTAAACGTACGTATCAGTGGTCCATAAAAGCTGTCAGGCGGCACACTACTGGCACTGGTCGTATGCGTCATCTTAAAGTTGTGCGGCGTCGTTTTAGGTTTTTTTTTATCACTCTAGACTCAAGCAGTTTCGTGATCGTTAGCATCACGTTTAGTTTCTGTAAAATCACTAGAAATGAATTTATATATTCGTTTTCATGTTTTCATGATGATAACTCATTTTCATCATTAATTCTCATGTCTCACTACACGGAGCTCTACTTGAGATTTCTATTTGTATACTGTGCATGTAGCATTTAATGATTAATATAGTTGGTTCTTGAAAGGAAAATATTCATATTTATGAAACTTTTCAGAAATCGTTTCCGGGAAGGAACAGTGGCAAGGCCTAAAAATCTTCGAGGACCAGAATCTATTAATGCTGTTGCAATGAGCTAAATATTTTAGCCCGTTTTATTGTGAAGTAAATATCATGAATTATTTAGCTGAAATAAACTTGTTTTTTTCTTGAACTTGCGTTTTTGACATTAAGAAAGGCGTTAATGGGAAAAGGATTATAATCGAAAAATGATATATTATCATATTTATTTGTCAATAATGAGTTTTGTATAACATCAGTGGTATCTTATGGCGTTGAAGACTGAATCATCTGTTTGTCAGTTTCGAAATTATTGTCAACTGTCGATATGGTGTGTTCCATGTTATATAAGTTGGCCTGAATTGGACCGAAGTGAACAGTGTGAAATGGACCGAAGTGAACAGTGATTTTAGAACTGCGATGCGAAGGCAAGTTCACTTCTGTAGTAGGGAAGGTATGACGGGATGACCTAGTTGGTTTTGGTTGTGATACATGCATTTATGGCTTTTTCGAGGGAAGTTTGGAGTCACCTCTATATATGGAGAATCATGCTGTGAAGTCTTTAAAGTTGTGGAAATATTCGTTGTTAATTTACAGAAGTGCCGGTTTTCAGTACCAAACTGTGCTTGGTGTCCGAATTCCATGAGGTAAGAGGTCGTGGAAATAGAAAACTAATTTAAAGCAATATCATGAAGACTCGCGGTATATGCCCTTTGTATGTCACTATTGAGAACACATACTAATTAAGTACAGGCGCTTTGTAGCATGTATGTAAAGAATTTCAGATTTGTGATTCTCGGTTTTATGCATTTGCTTGAGTTAGTAGTGAATAATTGGGGAAGCTAGTATCACTTAAACAAGAAAAAAGACTAGGTAGAACCTTTTGTTCATTCATTTCAGAAGCATATCTAAGAAATGAGATATGTAGCTTATTCACTGATTGAATTTTATTGCATTTGTTTTCTTCATTCTGTGTCCTCATCATCTAATGATATCCTACTTTAAGCCATAAGTCTTTCCACTTAGTTGTGAAATTTGGATTTGTTCAAACTCCTAATTCAGATCTTTTCTTCTTAAATCAAAAGTTATCCATTGTTGTTTGAGATGAGAAAGTTACATAATATTGTTGTCGAGGACTTATTATGCGTAATTCTCTGTGATTTTCACATTTTTTGTTACCAGCTTTATCATATGGAAATCAGTGATTCGAAAAATTCATCTCTTAATAATGGAAATCTCATTTTCAAGTAAATTATGTATTCTTTTTTACAAATTTAAACTCGAAAATTTTTATGCTTATTGGTATTATTAGCATTACGTGCCAAACTTGCTTTCTTTAAAACAATTATAACTAATCTAAATCCCATGTTTACCTTTGACTAAGCGATGTTAACTACTGGTTATAAACAGCATTATTTCCTGAATAACAAGGAGCTGTGAAGCATATTTTGAAATTCATTTAAAGTTAAATGAATTTTTTAGTCTATCTATAACATGCAAAATGAATTTTTCCGACATTTCTAGCTCATTGAAATACGACATTCTTCATGCTATTTATTTTAATATTAAAAATAGGCTATTTCCATTGTGAAGCATGTCGAGTATACTCTCATTACTGCTACTACATCACTCATGAGAACTAGTTTCTGCAAATAGATTTTTTAAAGAGAGATTCGAAATGAACTTTGTGAAATTTTAAAGTGCGCTTTGGAAATAATGAATTTTAGCAAAAAATCTAAAGCAGAAGTTAATATATAGATATGGTTCTAGTGAATGATGATTGTTAATAAACTTTTTCTAAAAAAAATCACATTAATTATTGTCAGTTCTTGACTGTTTTTGATTCCCATAAATCAGATGAGCTGGTCTTATGAGACCAGATTATATATTCCACATCATCGCTGTACTTCACTTCGATGCAAATAAATAGTTAAATTACGATATTTGTAAGGTTTATCATTATATTATGTCTGTTTACTATTAAATTATATATTTGAATTTACTCAAGTTGTTATTGTTATTGACGAAGCTAAGAAACAAATGTCAAAAATCAAAAATATTTAAATTTCTGTAATCTCTGTTCATTTTGTGCTAGTGAAGTATTCACTTTCATAAATTTTACTGTTACTTCAAAATTTACTTCTCTGTAGGCTTTATCTATGTTTGCATTCTATAACTTAGTAGTTTCGATTTAGGCACTTTCATTTATCCACTAAACAAAGCATATGTTTGAATATGCTCTGGAGCAAGAAGTCCAACAGATAAATGTCAGAAAAGTGGAGACGACTTTCACAAATTGCTGGCTTTATCGTGAAACATGTATATTTTAAGAAATTTGTATCAGATCGTATGGAAAGCTAATGATTGTATCGTCTTTAATCTTTTATTAGTTACAGTTTTATTGCTGTCATGAGATCATTACTGAGTAATAGAAACAATGTGTAGAAGTCTATACTATGATTAGTCAGTGCAGAGTATTGATGATAACATTTGTAATAATGGTATTAATCAACAAGAAAATGTTGAGAATGACAGAAGTGCGAAAAATTCTAGAATAAACTGGGAGATTAGAAACCATTAATTTGACTTCAGTGGATGTTAAATTCTGGTACTAATGAATTCTTGCTCTGAAAGAGTATTGTAGCATTTCTACATGAGTTCTTTGCATGGAAAATGCTGTATATTTTGAACTGAGTTTGTTAGTATCGTAATATAATGGACTTAAATATCTATTAAATACTGCTTTAAGATTTTTTTGTTCCGTAAAATTATTTGGTGATTTTCCTGAAAAAAGTGAAAGTTTACATTACATTGTTCTTTCATAAATGATAAGGGCTTAATTAATGACTACAATAAAGGCTTTAATTATAATGACTGATAATGAACACTGTTTAGTCTTTTAAATAAAATTAATAAACTTATTCAACCTCGTGTTTGCCGCAACAAATTATTTTTCATTATACAAAGAATGACCTATTTATTATTATTATTATTATTATTATTATTATTATTATTATTATT